GGGCAATCATTAATTTGATTCCTACCTCTCTAGGATCAGTGATATTTGGTTGGAAAGAAATTTCCATTCTGGTTTGATCTTTTTTTAAAGCAGCCAAATTTGTTAGGGGAGCCACCTGTTTCCCTGCTAATAGGTAATTATTCCTTTTGGGTTACTTTCTTCTGGGGGCATCTCGACCATCGCTCTTACTCTAAATGAGTAGAACTGACTTATCTTCTTGCACTTGCATATTCAAAATATTTGGTTTTATTAGATTTACATCTTTTTTAAAAAAAGGTTTTTATTTATTTTGGGGAGAGATGGAGAGAAACGCAGAGCATAAATGAGTGAGGGAGGGGCAGAGAGAGGGAGATACAGAAGCTGAAACAGGCTCCAGGCTCTGAGCTGTCAGCACAGAACCCAACGTAGGGCTTGAACTCACAAAAGGTGAGACCATGACCTGAGCCAAAGTTGGATGCTCAACCGACTGGGCTATTCAGGCGCCCCTAGATTTATATCTTATTAAGAATAAGAAGGTTACTCCTTTATGCCTTCATATTCTAGTACCTATTTCTGGCTATCTAATTTGTTTTAAAAACTTAATTTGAATATCTATGTAACTACTCATGTTTATAATACTTTTATAACCAAAAGGATGAATCAACTGGCTCACTTCCCAGAGGAACATATTCTATTGTCTGTATTGCCTAAACTTTTCAAATCTATTCAGAATCAGAGAGTTAGATTATTGTTATGACTATTTTTTAAAAATATTTTTCTTCTCTGTACTTAATACAGTAGTTGGTCCAAAGCTCAGCTATCATTCTCAAATTAAGAAATTCCCCTTCAAATTTCACTAATAAATGTTATTAAAACAACTGATCAAAAATAGTAATGGGGAAAAAAAAGGAAACTGGCTAGTTGAAAAGTTGGAGTTAGTACTTTTCAACAAAGTTTTACTGAACACCAACTGTGTATAAGGCCAAGATGTAGTTGTAAAAAACAAACCTACTAATGGTAGGAAGTTACTAGGGATATAATTTACTGTATCTCACAGTATCCTCTTTGAATAACACCCCCAAGACCAGTTATACTTCTAAGCAGCTGGCTAGATGCCATAGAATATATAACTAATTCCCTTTTTGCACAGGCTGCTGGGAAGCTCCACCTAAACCTCACAACCCACTTCTTTTTTTCTAGGACTTTATGCCATATGTTTGTCTTCCCTACCCTTACTCTCTCTTCCTCCAAATTCTTTAAAATTTTTTTAAAAATGTTTATTTGAGAGAGAGAGACAGAGCACGAGCAGGGAAGGGGCAAAGAGAGAGGGAGACACAGAATCCAAAGCAGGCTTCAGGCTCTGAGCTGTCAGCACAAAGCAAAACCGGGGGCCCAAACCCATAAACTGCGAGATCATGACCTGAGCTGAAGTCCCATGCTTCAGCTGGGACTGAGCTACCCACAAGTCCCTCTCTTCCTCCAAATTCTTATTTTTCATCTTATAATACTGTATATGTTTTTTAAAGCAGACTCATATTCTTTCAACAAAGCATGGCTTTAAATTAATAAGCTTTATGGAGCGCCTGGGTGGCTCAGTCAGTTAAGCACTTACTTTGGCTCAGGTCATGATCTCACAGTTCCTGAGTTTGAGCCCCACTGCAGGCTCTCTGTTGACAGCTCAGAGCCTGGAGCCTGCTTAGGTTTGTGTGTCTCCTTCTCTCTCTGCCCCTCCCCTGATCACACACGTACTCTCTCTCTTTCTCTCAAAAATAAATAAATAAATAAGTAAAAAATAAAAACAAATCAGTAAAAAATTAAAAAGCTTTCTGCCTCAGTATTATGTCTCTATCTGCATTTTCTACATGTTATTTGCAGGGTGCTATAATGAAAAAAAAATGGGGTTATTATTAAAACCATAACCAAAACAACACCTTGATTCGACTCCCAGCTCTGCCATTTACTTAGTGAAGACAGGAGGGTTTGCAGTCAGAAAGATCTGTGTTCACTTCCTGGCTTCTGCAACTTACTATATAGGATCTTGGGAAAGACATTAAAACCTCTTTGAGCCTCCAATGGACAAAACACCTAAAAACATTGAAAATTTCAATACAAGAAGCAAATGCTTGGAAGTTATCACAAATGACTACTACACTTAAGTGCAAATAACCCAAAACTTCAGAAAGATTTTCAGAAAAGATGGGATTTAGTCCTACCAGAGGTCCTTCAACATTCCTCGCATCAAGGCCTCCAAGAATGAAGAGAGAAAGGACACCTGATGTCCTCACCCAGCACTGCCACTGGGTCTTCTCTATTGGTGGTGGTGAGGATGAGGTCCTCCCACCTTCTGCACATTATTACTGCAGCCCGTGTAAAGTTTAGGCACTGCTTTCTAACTGAATTCATCCATTAGTTCATCAACCTAACATATCCTCTACATGCCAGGTGCTATCCTAAGAACCTGAGATACAGCCAGGAAACATGGACCGACCTTCAAGAGTCTGCAATCTAGCAGAGGAAAGATGCTAACTTTGAATAAATAAAACCAAACTCTTGGCCTTAAGTTGTTGCTATGAATAACAATTTACAAACAGATGTCACTGTGTAAAATCTAACATTATAAATCTAGGTTCCAATTTACTAAACAGACATGCCAACCAGACATTCTGATTTTAAAGCCTTACTTCTCTCAAGATTTGGGGAATGAAAAAAACAAGGGTCAAGGTTTTAGCTTGAGACATTCAACGTACATTCTTTTCAGAATTTAAGCATCTTGTCTCCTGCTTCCTCAAGGATCAGAGTTCACTATTTTTACAAAACAAGTGAGAGTGCAAGGTCCTATTATTTCAGTGATAAACTATCAAAATCTATTTTCTTTTACTAAAAAGAGAGATTGCATTGAAATGGCCCATCCTACCAGGGCAAAGTTGCCTGCAATAAAAGATACGATTATACTTCTGGCAGAACAAAGTACAACCTACAAGGAAATCGGTATCTTCTTGCTTGTAATATTTATTTTCTTTCTTGTAGTATTTTTGGTGACTAAGTATCAGTACATAGAGGAGTCCACCTACTTTTCAAATCAGAATTAGTCTAGCAAGATGTTAAAGGACAAAGAGTAGGTTACCTGCTACATTAATTCATATTAGTAAACTCAAAACACAGGCCTATTACACAAACAGGAAAGAGTCATGAGAACACCCTCATTCTTATCTAAACTTGTAATTATACCCAATTAATCGATCCCACTAATTTCCCACCATCAAGCCTACAACATACGGTGATCAGGTTGCTTAATGCTGTGCTTTAGTAGCTACCACAGTACTCTATGCAAAATACACTGGGGCTGGCCTTTTAAAGCCTTGACCCTCTTATTTCTAAAATGCTCACCTACGAAATTCTTCAGCTGAAAGGTACAACCGAAATGCTATCAATTTGAGTAAGAACCCTGAAAACAAGTTATGTTGTACAGATAAAATAATTATGTTCCATAAATCTAAAGAAACTTTTCCTCACTCAAGTGGCTAGCGATCTTGTGAAAGTACATAATTTTCTAAGAAGCGCAATAATCACTGGCTCCTTGGTGCATTGAGATCCGCTTGGACAGCCTGAATGGCCCACCCATCCTAAGCGATCTGAAGAGAAGGGTGATAAGAAGCAAAGGTAGAAGGGCCATGACCCTGGAGAAAGAGCTGCATCTAGAGTCAGCAGAGACTGGGAACATCAAAGCAGTGGCGATAGACGGGTCTGGAGCTGGGAATCCTCAGGGGTCTGAGAAAGACTGGTAGGGAGACTGAGGGGAGACTTCCACAGGTCGATGGGTCTCGCCCAGCAGACATGCAAGTTGAAATATGGTGCCTGGGAGCAAAGGGCTGGATCAGCACCCGCAGGACACAGGGTGTGAGACTTAGAGGAGACCGTACTGACGAAGGTGCGCTGGGGACTGGAAGAAATCTGGGGCCGGAGGAGGGAGTTCTGGGCTCCAGGCCGAGGACGTGGGGAGGCCACAGGGGAGTTAGGGAACTAGGATTTCGGGGGAGGGAGGATTCGTGCTCATGAAGCCGGAGCGCTGGGTGAGGAGCAGGGCGTGGATGGGGCCCTGGGATGTGCCCAGAGGCTGGGAAAAGCCGTCTGCGGAGAGGGGCGCAGGAGGAGACACTTCGGTGCGTTCAGGGGCTGAGGGAGGAATGCAGAGACACAAGTGGGTTTGGGAGGAGGAGATCCAGGGCGAGAGGGGGCTGAGGAAGGGGAGGCGGAGAGATGAGTGAGGGCTGAAGGGGAGGTGTGGAATGTGAGTTGAGGGCTGCGGAGGAGTGCGGAGAGATGCGACAGGCGGGCCGACGCGCGGCGCTGGGACGGGGCGGCAGCGGGAAGCGGGGCGCGAGGCGGGCGGCCGGGCGGCCGGGGAGAGGCGGGCACTGGGCGCGCGTCCCACCGTACCAGGCTGCGCAGATTGTCCTCCTGAGACTGCACCGTGAGCGCGGCGGTGCCGGTCAGCACCCGGCGGGTAAAATCGACGCTGCAGTGCAGGTGCAGGTGCTTGGTCTGGCAGACCGAAGCCGGAGAGGCCAAGGAGCACGAATCCACTACCTCGGGCATGGCTCTGGGGAGTCCCTCCGCACGCCGATGTGCACCCTAACACCCAGCTGCCAGACTACTCGACTGAGAGTGAGGGGAGGGAGGGAGGGAAAGAGCAAGAGGGACTCGTGGCGCCCGCCGGGAAGGGAAGTTTCTCAAAGTGAGAGAAGGGTAGGTTGCAGCGTGGCTGGAACTACAAGTCCCATGGTGCAGTGCGAGGAGGCGTGCGCTTTGCTCCCTGGGAGTGTGTGTATGTGGAGGGGTGCTGAGAGGACAGGGAACATTCCTGAAAGGAGAGGAAGAGGAGGGGAGTGGGGGAGCTGCAGGAGGAGTGGTGGGCGGACAGAAATGATCGCACGTGCCGCGGGGAGATCAACTGAATGCTTCCATTTTAGTTTCGTTCAACTTCAGTAGAAGTTGCAAAAGCAGTTGAAGAATGTCAGACCTATTGGCAATGGCTGATAGTAAAGGCAGGGCAGGGTGAAAACCAATAAGAAGGCTAGGAGAAGGCTTGCTAGCGTGCGGTTCCTCGTTAGTATAGTGGTGAGTATCCCCGCCTGTCACGCGGGAGACCGGGGTTCGATTCCCCGACGGGGAGGCACAGGAGGTTCTTTTCCTTGGTTGTTCCACGATGAAAATTCATCTTTAAACATTTTAAAAGTTAGTACAGAAGAAATAATGAATTTCAAATTACCTGTAAGATTTACATTTTAAGAATTCTTTGGTTATTAGCTTGCCGTGGTGGCAACCCAATACACGTGAGCTAAATTGCGTTAGTTCAACAAGATTCTCTTTAGTGCTTATTATGTACATTTCCAAGCCGTGGAGAGCAAAAACGGAACAAGCCAATATTCCCGTTTTAGAAATTTAGGAAGGTCATTTCAGTATACTGTAATATGAGACTTCTGTGATATGAGTAGGAGCTGGGACGTCTAGCTCGGCTCTGGGAACCTTCCAGAAAACGGGAGGAAAGATTGAAGGATATCCTTTGGGTTGGGACCTCAGAGTTGAAACTGGAAAAACTGGGAGAGACAGGATCCAGAGGACTTTAAACAGCTGGACCTTTAATCCTGAATTCATGATGGGGTGGGGGTGAGGGGCGGGGTGGCAATTGAAGAATTTTAAATAAGTGAGGAACATGGTCAGATTAATGTCATGGAGAGAATGCTAGTGATGATTCAGAGAATGGATATGAGTTATCAAAAACAGAAGCAGTTGAGTTAGAAAACTATTAGAATAGTCCAGGAAGAAGATTCGGAGGGGGTAACATAAGGGAATAAGTAAATATACAAAGGATAGAATACTTTGATAGATAGGAAGGAAGGAATACTTTGAGAGATAAGTGACTTCACAAACTAAGAAGTAGCCTTATAATTTCTCAGATTTTTGGCTTCAGTGTGTAAACAATCATTAACCAGAGACAGAGACCGTATGAAGAGGACAGATTTAGGCGGGGATTATCTAAATTTAATTTTGGACACTCAGAGTTCTAGGATGTATGGGAGTCAGAGTGGAGATGCCTGTGAATCATTTGGATGTTTAAGTCCATAGTCCTGGGGAAGTTTATGGCAGATCTGAGAACATCAGGGAATGGGGCACTTGAAGCTCTGGCAGTGAATAAGCTCAGCCCAAGTAGAGCGTGTAAAGGGAAGAGCAGTGAAAAAAGGTTGAAAGCTGGGAGAACACCAGATTTTAACCAAAAAAAAAAAAAAGGCTAAAGGAAGAAGAGAATCCTTCACAGTGTACGCATATATCAAATCGCCACGATGTACACTTACAATATATTACAGTTTTATTTATCAGTTATGCCTCAATAAAGCTGAAATTTTTAAAAAGGGGCGAGGAGAGTAAGAACTCATGAAATAAACCAGGAAGAGCCAACAAGCAATGTCAAATGCAGCGTGGAGCACCATTAAAATAAAAAGTAAAAAGCCTCCTTTGGATTCAGCAATGGAATGGAAGTAAGGAGGATGGCAGCTTTGTTGAATTTTGTAATTTTGTGGAAGGTGGATGCCAGAAAGCAGTATGTTGGGCAATAAAAGAAAACAGGGAAATAGAACATAGGCTGCTCTGTCAAGATGTTTGGCCAGTTTGAGAAAGGAAGATAAAAGAGGAATAGAGAGGAATGAGGCACTGAGAAAGTGTTTTTTATTTTCTTAGGGAAAGAGAATTTTTAACATGCTTAGATACAGATGTGAAAGGATTTCTAAAGAAGAGGAAATTGAAGATTTGTGAAGTGTGGGAAGTAGTTGATGAACTGGGCATTGGCCAGTGCTGCACAGAGCCGTTCTATACCAAAATGATCTCACAATTACATTTAGCTCCTGTAACAGAAAAAGATGCTCTATATCGGGGTGTCCTGGTGTTGGCCTGAACAAGCCAAAGGAAAACAATATAAATAAAAACATCCAAAACTATGAAATTAATCTCTTACACATACAAAACTCTGGATTTCATAGGGCCTAAGAATCCATGACATGGTTGACATTTGCATACATTTTTTTGAGGCCTAAAACTATTCTGGGTGTCACCAAATCTAGGGGGACAAATATGATGCAGTAAAATTGACTTAGTCAAAGAATTCACAGTCAAATGATCTTCCTCATGGAGAAAGGATTATTTGTTTTAATAAAAGAATGTCAATATTATCATCTTCTATTATCAGTTCCCAGGAGCCCACAGAATTTATGCCAATGTGTTCAAGAAAGGAAGTCACAGGCAACCACAAATGAATTCCTCAAATCGATTAATAGATTAGTCAAAAGATAGATATTCAGTGGTTATTTTCTAAGATACCACTGACCCCTATATACAGTGTACAAAATTAGCAACTTACAAACAATGGAAGTGTTCTTCATATCCAGTGGTGGATTGGGAAGGTTTAAACAAATGAAGCTTGGGCCATGTGGGTGACTCAGTCAGTTATGCATCCAACTTTGGCTTAAGTCATGGTCTCATGGTTCATGAGTTCCAGCCCGGTGTTGGGCTCTGTGCAGACAGCTCAGAGCCTGGAGCCTGCTTTGGATTCTGCATCTCCCAGCCCTACCCCGCCTCCTACCCTGCCCCCTACCCTGCCTCACTCTCAAAAATAAATAAACATTAAAGAAATAAAGACATGAACTTACCATTGCTTCTTTAAAAGAAGGATAATAATAAGAGTGCATATACAAAAGGAGACTTTATTAAGGATGAAATATAGTTTTATTAAAAGAAGTAGTAAATCTATTTACAGAACCATTTGAACAGGAAGTATTTCAACTCTACTGCTCACTTGGAAAAATTACTTAATCCCTAAAAACCTCCATTCTTTCAGGAAAATTGAGATACCTGTGCCTCATGGGATTGTTGAAAGGCTGAAATGAAATAATGGATGTGAAGTGCTTAGCATAGTGATCATTAGTCATGTGTTTGCTACTATTATTTCTATTGGTTTTTATTTTGTCTATTTTGATCATGTTAATATGTATTTTTCCTTGTTTTGTTAGCAAGAATTTTTAGGAAGACCTGGAAAATGAGAAGCGACCAAGATGTGGGCAATCAGCAATTAGTGCCAAAAGAGACCTCTAAAGAGAGTTGCCAACATTAGTGATGCTCACCTGTTTTTGAAATATATTTACATTTAGGAAATTTGGGAAATTGCAATAGGTGTATTAACACATGACTTCCTGTTTCCATCATGTCTTGCTCTTCAGGGTCACCTTTGCACAGCCAAGCTGAAAGCAACTTGTGCAAGAAAGATCTCCACTCTCTCAGGCTCTTCTTAAGCTTTGACCTCCACCCAGTCCCCAGGGCTCCTGGAAAGTGTTCTCTCCCAGGAGCTCTCTCCTGTCCCTCCAATCTGGACAGGAGTTGAGCAGAATCTCTTTTCCTGACAGAACAGAAGTGTACGTGATGCCCTTCCTGTTCTTCTTCCAATGGGTGAGAAAGTGGAAGAAATTATTTTAGCTACTTCTTTTTTCATATTTAGGTTACAAAATGGTTGATGCAGCCCTGACCCATTTCTCCATTTTTCTATTATTATTTTTTTTTGTTTGTGCAAGAATTTTATACTTAATATTCACATCTCTAGTCTGGTCATGAGAAGGTGAGGGCAGCTGGAGAGGCCAGATATGAAAGAAGCGCAAGACAAAGTTTTCCCCAGTTAGTAAAATAACATAAGTGACAAGTGACCCTCTCCACCTGCCCCAAATCCTTCTACCCATTGTCTCCCCGCTCTCCGACTCCTATCCCTGCTTGAGAGCAGGCTGGGTCTGGAGAGCCTCCCACATAGATTTAACATTTGTTTCTCTGCTTGTGCCCACAGGAGGGACTGGCCAGAACAGAATAGATGGTCAAGCTGTGCGGGATGAGACTGCTGGTCACGTGACCTTCTCTGTTTGTCCCACACCAAGTAGGGTTCCAGGACCAGTAGCATTAGTGTCTCCTCAAAGCCTCACCAGAAATACAGATCTCAAGCCCTGGCCCTGGTTTGCTGGCTTGGAATCTGCATTCCAAAGGCTCAAAGGATACTTTTGGGATTGGAGGAAATTCAGTTCAAGAGGTATCAAACATGTCAGGACTCCTTCTCTTGGAGCCTTGGCCCTAGATCCTCTAATGTCATCTCCAACACAGCACACATACCAGTATATTTGTCCTTTTCCCCCACTCGATGGAGTGTCCTGAATTTCCAGATGGTATATTTTCCCTCTCTGAGCATGTTTGTTGGATGGATGAATAAATGTATAAGTGAATGAAAGAAATTTCATATGAGGCTCCAGGGATCCTTTTACTCAGTGCTTTACTCTTTGTTGGCTTTGAAGCAAAGAAAAAGGTACCCTGGGAACTCTTCCCTGTCCTCTGATGTCACCAGGCAATATGTTTGCTTGCAACAGAAATGCCCTTACCATCCTCTTGTGAATGGTAAACCCTTTCTTTACAAACCTTTTTATTGAAGCATAGTCACTACTCATAAAAGTGCACATATCCTAAGCACATAGCTCACTGAACTGAACACACACCAGTGCAATCACTACCCAGATTAGATACAGAGCATTGCCACCACCCCACTAGAGGGCCCCCTCAAATTCTCTTCTATTCTCTATAAGTCTTGCTCCCCAGACGTAATCACTGCCTGATTTCCAACAATATATTACTTCTACCTGTTTTGTTATTTATATTTCCTTTATTTAAACAGAAGTGTACAGTAGGTACTCTCATGCCTGCATTCTTTAGCTCATTATATTTGTAAGGTTCGTCTATATTGTTGTGTATAGTTCTGGGTTATCCATCCTCATTGCTGTGTAGTGTTACCTGTGTGGGTAGACCATGATATATTTATCCGTCCTAGTGTGGATGGACATTAGGGTAATTTTCAGTTCTGCGTTACTATGGATGGTACTGCTATAGCACGTTCCAGAACATGTCTTTTGGTGAACATATTGCAGCCTGGTTTTGGTGTGCTGCTTTGACCCATGCTAGGTCCCATTCCTTTGGGACCACTGCACCAGGCTAAAACTCATTCATTGCAGCAACCAAGGCTCTGTACTTATGAACACAAACCCAACAAACTCCTATGTGGAGTAGGGGAAGGTGAATCAATCAGGAAGAGAAGCTTTTTTCAAGTTACAAGAAAAAAAATTTCTTCACAGGGGTGCCTGGGTGGCTCAGTTGGTTAAGCCAGCTCTTGGTCTGCTCAGGTCATGATCTCACAGTTCTTTTTTGTTTTTTTTTTTAATGTCTATTTATTTATTTTTGAGAGAGAGACAGAGCATGAGCAGGGGAGGAGCACAGAGAGAGGGAGACCCAGAATCTGAAGCAAGTTCCAGGCTCCGAGCTGTCAGCACAGAGCCAGAGGCAGGGCTCGAACCCACGAACCGCAATATCATGACATGATCTGAAGTCGGATGCTTAACTGACTGAGCCACCCAGGTGGCCCATCTCACAGTTCTTGAGTTGAAGCCCTGTAGGAGTTGAAGCCCTGGAGGGGGCTCTCCACTGATAATGCAGAGCCTACTTGGGGTTCTCTCTCCCTCTTCCTCTCTCTCTGCCCATCCCCAGCATGTGCTCTTGCTTGCTCTCCCCTCCTCTTTCAAAAATAAATAAGTAAACTTAAAAAAATTCTTCCCAAATGCTGATCTAAATCATACTTTATTTTCCTCTCAGTCACTTTTGCTTCTTTTCTAGGTGCACCTGATTGCGAAATTCAGCCGCATGGGGGTTTCTTCTGACTCAGAGATTCCAGCCCTACTTACATTTTTCCTGCTAAGTAGCCAGTGGTATTTCATCAAAGTAGGTACTTACACCTTTTGTTCTGACAGTTTAAAGCATGTGTGGGGCTTGACAAGTGTCATTACTGATTTCAAAAGCAGTATTTCTGTCTCAGGTTGGTTGGCGTTGAGCCCAGCTTCTCTTGTTTGCCTGCAGAGCAGTGGTTATTGCTGTTTGCTTGTAAAATACATTTGCAGCAAAGACCCACCTAAAAGTCTTTCCTTCTAAACATTCTTCTCCTTTACAAATTTGTGTTTGAGGAACTAACCAGTCTTTTGTCATTTCTTATAAAAGCCCTCTTGTGCTTTGTGTTTGGAATTGAGCAAACCCAAGTAAGAGGCTCACATAGTTGACATTTCATGTTCTCCCGCAGATGCGTGTCTTAGTATTTCTCAGGCTGAGCCATGCACGTCCCCTCACCTCCCACCCTGGCTTCCACTTCCCTTCCAAGTGCTGCCTCCTCCGGGCATCCAACACAGCCCCTTCTCCAGCCAGACTCTACTCTTTCCCAGGGGTGCACCTCACTGTTCTCCCCCAGGTCAAGGTACTGGAAGGCACTCCCTGCTCACTCCTCTCTCCCCTGTTCGCTGCTCCCCTTCTCCAAAAATATCTTCCCAATGTATTTTCCTTCCCTTCCTGGTCCTGAAGTTTTCTGAAAAGGAACTTTACACACACACACACCCACTCTCACACACACAGAGTCAACCCCCATTATTTGCAGATTTCATATTTGTGAGTTTGTCCACTCACTAACATTTATTTGTTACCCCAAAATCAATACTTGCAGCCCTTTTGTGGTCCTCTATGGACACACGCAGAACGGTGAACAATTTGAGTTGCCTGAGGCTCACGTTCTCTGCTGGGGCTGAACAAACAAAGCTGAGCCTTCTTGTTTCTGCCAACAACTTATACTGTAAACGAGTGTCCTTTCTGTGGTGTTTAGTGTCAGGTTTTTCACATTTTTGTGCTTTTTTTGGGTCCTTTGGCTGTTTTAAATGTACTCCAAGCAAATGCTGAAGTGCCTCTCATTTTCCTAAGTGCAGGAAGGCTGTGATGTGCCCCGTGGAGAACACACATGTTAGAGAAGCCTCGTTCAGGCGTGACTCCCAGTGCTGGGGTCCATGCCTGTGGTGTTAATGAGTCAACTCTATATTCGATAAGGTGTCTTTGGACAGAAGCACACATAAACCAAGGTTATGTACTAAGGAGCTCCTGGGTGTGTCAGTCAGTTAGGCATCCAACTTCAGCTCAGGTTATGATCTGGTTCGTGGGTTTGAGCCCCACATCCGGCTCTGTGCTGACAGCTCAGAGCCTGAAGCCTGCTTTCAAATTCTGTGTTTTCTTCTCTCTCTGACCCTTCCCTACTTGTACTCTGTCTCTGTCTCAGTCTCTCTCTCAAAACAAATAAACATTAAAAAAATTTTTTTAAACAAGGTTATGTACTGAGGGGCACCTGGGTGGCTCAGTCGGTGAAGCGTTCGACTTCGGCTCAGGTCATGATCTCACCGTTCATGGCTTGGAGCCCCGCGTCAGGTTCTGTGCTGGCAGCTCAGAACCTGGGGCCTGTTTCAGATTCTGTGTCTCCCTCTCTCTCTGACCCTCCCCTGCTCATGCTCTGTCTCTCTCTGTCTCAAAAATAAATAAATTATATTAAAAAAATAAAATAAAAAAATAAACAAGGTTATGTATTGACTGGAAAATGCCACCCGAAGTCCACAGAACCCCAGTGTGTCTCCCCTGGGAGCAGTGATTCAGGTTTCACGAATTCAGTGCTCACTGCAGCTTTACAGAACACAACTGCAGCAAGTAAGGAGAGCCAACTGTATATATTCCTTGTCCCTCCAGTGATTTCACATTTGTTTCTCTCAGCCTCTCTCTGTTCCCAAAGCAGTTAAGGTGGCAGGCTTTCCTGGGAGATACCTTACTCTCCCAGCGCACCCAGCTCAGTACAATGTGGTGGGTGGGTCCTCAGCAGATGGAAAAGGGACCCTAGAAGGAGGGGAGGGGGGAAAGAACACAGGAAGGAGGGATGGGGGGAAGGAGAGAACAGTGAAGCTGAGGTTATTGCTTTGTCTAAGAGAGCTTGGATTCCCAGAATTTCACAATTTCTCAGTCCTCAAATGCTTCCTCTTTATTTCTGAGAGGAATCATTGAACTAGAATAACATAAAATTAGACATTAAGTGATATTCTGAGATAGCTTTGGCTTTTATTTCTGCTCTTTAAGGAATTACACAGAGCAAATCTTCCAGATTCTTTGGAATTAAAAAAAAATGTTTCCTTTTCCTCCCTCTACCCACTCTTCACCCGTTGTGTTCACTTGGCTCAGGATAACTCTATAATTCCCCAACTCTAGGCCAGAAGGAAATGGTACTTACGGTAGGCATAAATTCAACTCTGTGGTATTACCAGGCACCTTTCATGGGTAGCAAGCAGCATGGATATTGGCTTGTCCTTGGGAAGTTCATAACTTTATTGGGCAAATGAAGACCATAAAATGAAACCACTAGAGAACAGAGTGGGTGACTGAATAATTAAACAGAGTGGGTATTCAGGTGGACCAATCCACAAATGCTGTAGGAGTTCAGTGGCAACGTCTGTGGGCATCTCTCTGAAAGCAGTGAGGCTTGCATGGAAATATAAAGCAGAGGTCTCATTTTTTAAAATTGCTAACCAATATTAATAAAAATTGAGGAGCACACCCTCAATAAATGTGGGGTGAGTTTTTTGCTTATTTATAAATTCTTTATGTGTGCTAATGTAATTAATGAATATCTCATGGCACAAAATACATTGAGAGGAAGGGTCAAAGTCAATGATAGTGAATATAATCCTTAATTTTAAATAACCATCTTCATAATTTTGCTTTGCGTGGCAGAGAGCTACCTTCCTGTCAGATTTGATTTGATCATCATTGTTTCATTTTGTTTGTTAAATCAAGGTACCCCACCTTATCTTGGAATGGAAACATTCGTTCGACTATTTTCATTTGCTTACATGTACTTACATTGTAACTTCTACATTCAGGCCGAAATATGTGAAACCTAACCATAGCACTCCAATTACCTGAGTGTCCAGAAAAGTCATGAGCCTGCATAAGGGTTTGGCCAGGGCCAAAGGAAATCATGCCAGCCCACTGAGAAAAGTTAAAGGGACAGTAGAAGAACAAAATACAGTTTATGATTACAGCTCACAAGTCGTATCTGTGAAGCAGACCACTTACATAAATAAAATTAGAAAGTTAATACTTTCTGTCTGTACCCAAATGATTGCTGCATGCATGTGTTTACCCTGCTTTGGAAACCTCTCCTGAGTGAATGTATAGTTTGGATGGGTAATTGAAAGGGACAATAATTCCAAAGAGGCTGATGGTTTAAAACATAGTCAGATACCAAATGCAAATTCAGAAAACTAGCTCACACTTCTTGAACCCCCAGATGTATTTCCAGAGTGAATCCATCACATTTTACCTATGATGCCTCTATATACTGGGGTTGTCCAGTCCTGATCACCAGGGCAGAGATTCATTGAGGTTTTCTGTCCCCTAGAAGTGGAAGAAACAGCAGCCACTGGAAACTTACCTTTCCAGGTTTAAACTAGCATCATTGAGCCTTGAAAGTGACATATCATCACCTCTGCCATATTTGATTGGTTACACAGACCAACCCTGATACCATAGGAGGGAGCTATATAAAGTCATGAATACCAGGAGGTAGAGGACATTGGGAGCCTTCTTGAGGCCAGATACTACCATGAGGGAGTCATTATTATCATCCCCATTTTACAAAGGAAGAAACTGATGGTCTGATAATTAAGTAATTTGCTCAAGTCACTAGCTCAGAAAAAGCACACTGGGGGTTCAAACCCAGGGAGCGTGACCCCAGAGCACATCCTTTTTGAGCATAGCCTTGTAGCCTCATCTTACCGCAGGGCTTTTTCTAACTTCCTTTCTTCACCTCAATGCATGAAACATTGCAAATAAGATAGATTTCCTTTTGCTTAGACCATTTCAAAAGTCATTGTTTCTTAAGGGTGGAGGTTGGAGGGTTTCCAAAGAAGGAAATACAATGAGAACATCTGGCCAATGTCCCTAACATGTACATGTTAATTAATTAATTTAGAAAATGTCACCCAGAGACTGAGAATAACAAGACTATTGACCTGATTTCAGAGCCTGACATTTACAAAATGATCACAAGGTAGAGTGGGTTGTGTGTACATCCTGTCCCATTTCTCCCTTCCTGGTTGTTTGGGTCAGGTTCTCTCATGAGTCTGGGTGGTCTAAATTGAACAACATTTTGCTGAAATAAGTCTGCAATATTAGACCTTAGGAAACAAAAGCCGGAAAGAGAAACTACATTTCCTATAAAATGTGTAACTATTGGATAACATCTTGCCAACAGTGTGATTGGATAGAGGGCAATTTATGTGTGAGAAAGAGTGAGACTATATACAATGTATAATGTTATCTGTATAAACGATCATGAGAAAGGTAAAGTTTAGTTGTTCTTTTGTTATGATTTTTTATTAACCAAATCTGTAGTTACATTGAATTGTAGCCCATCATTTTAAACTAGGTATGGCATGACATTCATCAATAAACACATTTTGTTTTATTTAATAATTTATTTTGGCATTTTCTCTGTCAGGCCCTATTCTAATGCTTTAGACATATTAACATATTTTAAACTTATTTTTTAAAACTATTTGAGGTATATACAGCCTAAAGTTTCGATATTTGTGTATATTGCAAAATGATCGCCACAATAAGTCTAGTTAACATCTGTCACCATACATAAAGATTTTATTTTTTTGTGATGAGAACTTTTAAGACGTACTCTCTTGGCAACTTTAAAGTATGCAATACAGTATTATTAGCTATAGTCACCATGCTGCACATTATATTCCCATGACCTATTTATTTATAACTGGAAGTTTGGACCTTTTGACCCCCTTCATGTATTTTGTCCACTTCCCCCACCTCCAACCTCTGGCAACCACCAATCTGTTCCCTGTAACTATGAGTTGTTTTTTTTTTTAATTCCATATATAAGTGAGAGCATATGGCATGTAGATATGTATTTATCTTTCTCTTCCTGACTTATTTCACTTATTATAATGCCCTCAAACTCCATCCCTGTTGTTGCAAATGGCAAGATTTTTTTATGGCTGAACATATGTGTGTGTATGTATATGTATATATGTATGTATACATGTGTAACTATATATACACATGTATACATACACATATACACATGTGTGTATATATATACACATATAGTTACACACATACACAAACATACACACCACATTTTTTTTTACCATTCTTCCACTGGTGGACATTTGGGTTGTTTTCATATCCTAGCTATTATAAGTAATTCTGTAATGAGCATAGGGGTACATATATCTTTTCAAGTTAGTGTTTTCATTTTCTTCAGATAAATACCCAGAAGTGGAATTGCTGGGTCATATGCTAGTTACATTTTTTTAAAGTTCTTTCTTTTTTTAAATGTTTATTTAATTTTGAGAGAGAGGGGAGAGAGAGAGAGAGAGAAAGGGAGAGAGAGAGAAGGAAGCACAGGAGGCATAGAATCCAAAGCAGGCTCCAGGCTCTGAGCTGTCAGCACAGAACCTGACATGGGGCTCAAACTCATGATCGGAACCACGAGATCATGACCTGAGCTGAAGTTGGATGCTTAACTGACTGAGCCATCCAGGCGCCCCAAATATTTTTTTAAGTTCTTAGCTTATTAATCCTCTCATGAAAAATCTGCACAGTCACCACAGATAAAGTCACGGAGAGCCTTTATTCCTTTTGTTGTCCAATCTGCAGCTCACCTGTTGCTCGCTCCACCATTGGCTTCTGCAGTCCCCTGACTTCTTCATTCTGTTCTTCTGTTCCTTTCCCTGTTTTCTGGAGGCCTTTTTCTTCTCACACGGGCCATGTCTTACAAGTCTATGTTTGGGTTCATTTTTCTGCGCATCACCCAAAGAACCATAAATTATGCCAAAGCCAGTTGTCTTGCCACCACCAAAATGGGTTCTGAATCCAATACAAAGATGGCATCTGGTATGATCTTGTCCATTTTGGCTCGTTTTTCCTGAATTTCTATCTCAGGTACTGTTGCCTTCCAGGGTGAAGAACATCAACGAGCATTTGTTTTCTCTGAAGTAGCTGGTCTGTCATGAACTTCCTGGTCCAGATAGGTACTGGGTCATTCATAAAGGTGGCTGAGCTTCAAGCAGCCAGGGAGGAAAAGAGAATGACTATATGGTAATTCTATCTTTAACTTTTTGAGGATCCTCCAGACTGTGTTCCATAATGGCTGCATTATGTTTACATGCCCGCCAGCATTGTACAAGGTTTCCCTCTTCTTTATTTCCTCACTGACACTTGTTATGTCTTGTCTTTTTGATAACAGCCTTTCTAACAGGTGTAAGGTAATGTCTCATTGTGGTTTTGATTTGCATTTGATTTAGATTTAGATTTGCATTTCCCTGATGATTAGTGGTGTTGAGTATCTTTTCATGTGTCTGCTGGCCATCAGGATGTCTTCTTTGGAAAAATCTATATTCAGATCCTTTGCTCATTGTTTTTAATCAGATTTTCTTTTTGCTATTGAGTTGAATGCATTCTTTATATATTTTGGATATTAGCCTTTTATCAGATATACAATTTGCAAATATTTACTCCCTTCTGGCAGGTTGCCTTTTCCTTCTTTTGCATGTGGCTGTTCAGTTTTCCCAATACCATTTATTGAAGAGACTGTTCATTCCTCATTGTATATTCTTGACTCCTTTTGCCACAAACTAATTGACCATGTATACTTGGGTTTCTTTCTAGGGTCTACATTCTGTTCCATTGATCTATGTGTCTGTTTTTGTGCCAGTGCCATACTATTCTGATTACTATACTTTGTAATATAGTTTGAAATCAGGGAACACCATGCCTCCAGTTTTGGTCCTCTCTCTGAGGAGTGCTTTGGCTACTTGGAGTCTTTTGTGGTCAAATTTTAGAGTAGTTTGTTCTATTTCTGTGAAAAATACAGTTGGAATTTTGATGGAGATTGCATTGAATTTGTAGCTTTCCTTGGGCAGTACAGAGATGTTTAATAATTTTAATTCCGATACTATGTTGAATAAAAGTGGTTAGAATGGTCATCCTTGTCTCATTCCTGATCTTAAATGCAAAGCTTGCAGCTTTTCACCATTGTGTATGATGTTAGCTGTGGGCTTGTCGTAGATGACCTTTACCATTTTACACATTTCTATTAATCCTGACAACAACCCTGTGAAGCAGGTACTGTTACTTTTCCCATTTTACAGATGGGGAAACTGAGGCACAAGCACTGTCTTGGTTAAGTTCCACATTACACAAAAGTTACAAAATAACCTAAGGTTAGGTAAGCAGCCAAGATTACACAGCTAGTAAATTTTAGAATTGAGGGTGGGATTCCAACCAGGCACTAGAGCTGCAGAACCTGGATTTTAGTCGAGTTTTTTGTCTGGTACAAAAATATGGATTCCTAGATCATTCTCTTTTGTGACCTCACAGGTCGTTCTTGCTGCTGGCATCCACTCCTTCCCATTTCTCAACCTTTCTCCTGTCTGACTAGCAATTCCTGCCCTTTTTGTTTCAAGAGTCAACTCAAGTTTACCCTCTGCTATGAAGCCTTCCATGACTTGGAGTTCATATAGATTTGGGCACCTGTTTCTTCATTTCTTAATATGCTTTGATCATTTTATTGAGACATTGACTGTTTTTATCTACTCAGTGTCTAGTCTACCTTCTCTGTCACCAGTTCTGTGATTCACCCTTCCCCCATTTCAGGGGCAGTCCGTGTGACCTGAAGCTAACCAGATCAGAGGTTCCTTAATGCCACAATTCGGAGGTGACCATGTGAGCCAGGTTGGTCTAATCGGAGTGAATCCTGGGACATGACAGAAGCTGATGGAGAGAAACACAGGTCATAAGTCCAGAACTGTCGGCAGCCTTCTGTCTTCATGCTGTGCCTGAGAATGAAGCCAAACTGAAGAGAGGGAGAAAGGAAGGAGAGTGAGAAAGCCGACTGGAGACATTGAGCCTCTGGGTCAAACCCCACCTAAATTCAAGATACACTTTTGGACTTGATGAGCTTCCCTTTTTCAGCTTACTCTAGATGAAATTTTCACTCATTTGCTACCATAGGAATACTAACCAGTAGATGTATATATATATATTCTACCATGTATCTAGAGCTATTTGACAATACCAGTGTGAGCTAGACCATAATTCTTTGGGGATCATATATGCCAAATAAATATTTGTTGAATGAATTTAGCTGAAGAGTGTTTTGGAGGGAACTGAGCCTAGAGCAGGGACACCTTTATGGAGGCTAATGAACTTCACTGGTACAAAATATAATCAAGGGACTCAGTCAGGCTGAAGAGTGGGGTTGAAGGAAAGGGGCAGGAACCAGACAAAGAATGAACAAGGCAGTGATACAGCGTGGGGTGCACAATAGTCACATTAAAGCTTGAGTGCTGCCCCATTCTGTGCGTTTATGTACCCATGTGTTTTAGTAGACTTCTCTTCAGCAGCCTACTAAATTAAATTTCATATTACTAGCTGGCTATTGCCTGTCTAAATTACCCATCTCTGCCAGTTTACCATAGTAGAAAAATTAATGTTAGACAGAGGCTCACTTACAAGTGAATAACCATGATTATCACGAAAAAAAAAAAAGAGCTTTATTAAACAACAGGCAGGTCTTCCTAGGGATGGAGCGGAGAAGTCCATGCAACTCAGCGTGCGGTGATAGGCAGCTCTGGGACAGTGTGCTGGGGCACCAGCTAACAGCACCAGCTAAGAGCAAAGGCCCTGAGTAAAGTGGAAACTGGGCAGTGAAGTTGTCCTTGCTTTCACTAACCACCAGCTAAGAGGACACTCAGTAAGAGACCCTGGGAGTTTTGTGCAACAGCACCCTACAGCCAGCTGCGGGACCCAGTGGAAGAGAAGAACAAGGCCCCTCTTTCCTTCCCATCAGCTCACCTAAAAAAAGGAGCCAAGTCCTACTTAGCCTCAACATCTTTACTCTCAGCCTGCTCCAGGACAGACAGAGGGCAAGGGAGGTGCCATCTGTTTTGCTCTGGGATTATCGTACTTTTGCTCTCCTACTTTGTCACTGACCTGCAGACTGCCAGCTGCAAGGCAAACTCTGGGTAACCTATGCCCGGATCAGCCATGGAGAAGATAAAGGATCTGTGGCAGTACAGATGGAGCCTTCTGTGATGATGGAAATGTTCTGCGTGCGGTTCATTATGACAGCATTCGCCACAGTGGTTACTGAGCACTTGAGATGAATTGATGGCTAGTGCAATTGAGGAATTAACATTTTAATTTAATTAAATTAGTTAAAATGAAAATTTAAACAAGGATCAGTGGCTACTCTATTGGGTAGCACAACTCTACAGTTTCTTTCTCTCTCCTCTCTCCTACTTTGCCTCTTCTACCTATTTCCCCACCCATCCCTCTCCCTTCTGCTGAAATAGCTCCTGTGGAATATGGACTTTCACATCCTGGGCCAGTGCCCTAACCCAGTGGATGCCCAGTGGGTCAGTTGGTCTTTTAGCTAAAGAGGAAGATTCTTGATTATGACTCAAAAACATAAAAATTAAAATGGTATGTTATCATTTCAAATTGTTAGTATTTTTCCCAACTTCCTTACAGTGGTTATTCACTTCTTACTAGGAAGAAACTGTAAGAGCAGGAAACATGTCTGTAAAGAGTTCTGGAGCCAGACTTCCTGGTTCAACACTGACTATCTCACTTAGTAGCTGTAGCTCATAGGCAATTTACCGAATTTCTTAGTATCTCAGTTTCCTCCTCTGTAAAATAGCAATAATAATGCTATATTATTGTGGTGGGTTGTGGTGAAGCTTAAATTGTTTTTGTGTGTGTGTGTGTGTGTAAAGCACATAGGACAGAGCTCAGCACATAGTTGATGTTAATCAACATTTACTAATATTATTCCCTCTGCTTGGCAACCTTCTTTGTCCAGCAGGTGCTCAGAAGAGGTTTGAGTGAGTGAATGGCTGGAGTAAGTGTGTTGCCACCAGGTGGCAGTAGTGCCTCACTTATAAGGACTAACCAAACCACTAGAGTTTGTAACTCTCTCCCAAAGTCACAGATGCAGTATGAAGAACTTTCCTCTTCTGTCCCTCCTCTTCCTCTAATATCTGCCCTCTCTCTACTGTGATAAACCTTTCCTAACGTGATTCTTCCTGGGACACACGCAGAGAGAACGCTTTGGTATTTCTTCTTCTTCTAGTAAGATCACCAGTCCATATTAGATTAGGGTCCTACTCTTATGAGTTCATTTAACCTTAATTACTTCCCTAAAGACCTTATCTCTAAGTACAGTCACATTGGGTATTAGGACTTGAGCATATGAATTTGGGGAGACACAATTCAGTCCATAATACCACTTTTATTTATAAACTCTGTTCTCATACTTCTTACTAATGTAGCTTTTCTTTCTAATTTCCTATTATTCACAAATCCTTAAATCTTTATATGGCTTTTCTAGGACTTGTACAGGTTGTAACTGAACAACTCTAGGGGGTGTCATTCATATCATACCATAGATTTATATGTTATGACAGCGTTGAGGCAGATGGTGGTAACATATCTTCAAGAAGAGGAGTCTTTTGCAAATTCACACAAAGGTGCTGGCCCCCTCATTTTTCTCCACTGTGTCCCTGCCCTTCTCCTCATCATTGCTGCTCCAGATTCTCTCCTTTCTTACTCTGCTCTTTAGGCTGAACCTGCCCCGTGTTCATAAAGAGATTAATTCATCACAGCACACATTGTTCAGTACCTTAGGGCCAGGCTCTCTTGTGGATACCAAATGGTGCACCCTACCCTTCCATCTTTAATCAGCCAGTCCATCCACACCCAGAAGGACAACATCTAATGGAATGAGCCTCCAACATCCTTGGGTCATTCACTGTCTGCCTTTACCTTGTGCAGACATTAGGACCCAAGCAGGGAAGGGAAGGGGAGGCGTGTCATACTGTAATGTAAACTAGCATTTATTGAACACTTACCATGTGCTGCACAGAGTTCTAATCTCACTCTACATATTACATTTAATCATCAAAACTCATTTTGTAGATGAGAAAACTAAGCTTCAGACAATGTGGCAGAAACTCCTAATTGTTCCCTAATTTCTGCCTTCTCTATTTTTCTTTAAGTAATAGAAGCCAGTGAATTTTGGCTGGACCCAGGGATGCCCAAGAATGGCCACATTTCTCAGCCTCCTTTGCAGTTTGGTGTGGCCACATGACTTAATTCTGGACAGTTGGACGTGAATAGAAATGAGGTCTGCAATTTCAGGGTTCCATCCTTGAAAGGAAGCTGCTTGCTCTCTATGTCTTCTTTTCCTTGTCCCCATGCTTGGACAGTACTGAGCCAGCTTTGACCATGAAAGGTCAAAGGTCATAGCATGAAGGAGAGCAGAGCAAGAACATAGAAGGAACCTAGTGTCTAGATGAGCTTACGGGACAAAGCCATGTACATGTCGACCCTAAATCTGTCTTTAGATTATTATGTGAATAAGAGGTAAACTTGTCTTGTTTGAATCACTATAGTTTGGGGTGTGTTTATTACAGCTTCTTAGCCTGTTCTTTAACTAATAGGGAGAGGTTAAGTAACATGCCCAAGATCACAAAGGTAATAAATGACAGCAACAGGATTTTACCTCAGGTAGGATTTGAATCCAGAACCCAAGCTAATTGTACAATAACAATACAGGGCCTAAACTTAACCACTAACTGTATAATAAGATCTTATTCCTCCAAAAGTTCATAATCTCCAGGCAAGACCACCCTTTGTATTGGGCTTTGAAGGACAGTCAAATGGGCTCTGAAACACCAATTATATAATCTTTTCACTGAATACCTGGAATCCCCATGATTATTCCCTTCTTTGGGGCAGTAGAGATCTGGTTAAAATGTAAACACAAGGTGGGTGGGGCAACACAGAGGTCCATGATCACTGTGAAACTCTTGGTACTAGGTAATTCCTCACGCTATCTGACCTGTCAAGGTTGAGACAGGAAGGGATATGGGATATACAAAATTTGATGGAATGCCACAGTGAGGCGGGTAAAATAGACTGTGGGGGAACAGAATGTCTGGAAAGGAAACAGAAGAATCCTTTGCCTTGAAAGAAGGTGTGCTAGACAGAGTAACACCCACCCAACCCTCCCAAAGACATCCATGTCCCAATCCCGGGAACTGTGAGTAAATTACATGACAAAAGGGATTTTTGCAAATGAAGGGTCTTGAGATGGAGAGATTTTCCTGGATTATTTGAGTGGACTCAGTCTATGCTCAGGGGGCCTTATAAGGGAAAGAGGGAGGCAGGAGAGGGAGAGTCAGAGAAGCCAAGATGATGACAGAAGCAGAGGTCAGAGAAAGAGAGATTCAAAGATGCTACACTATGGCTTTGAAGAGGGAGGAAGGAGCCATGAACCAAGGAATGTAGCTGTACCTAGAAGTTGCAAAATCCTCCCTCAGAACCTCCAGAAGAATGAAGCCATGCCAACACCTTGATTTTAGCCAAATCAAACCCATTTTGGACTTCTGATTTCCAGAATTGTGAGATAATAAATTTTTTCAAACTACAAACCTAGTGATATTTTTTTAGCAATGGGAAATACTTAATTCAAGGAGTGTGGTTGTCCAGGTCCCTGCAGGACACAAGTGGCTCATAAAGAGGCTGTAAGTAATGGTTCTATGGAGGTCAAGGGCACCACAAGATCAAGGGCACAGTGGGTACCACAAAGGGAGAAGCACCAAGAGATTAACAACAGCAGGAAGCCAGTACCATCCCGAGACCTGAAGGGCATGGGGGAAAGAAGAGCATCACTGAAGACCGGGGAGAGCTTCATGAAGAAGACACCCAAGAAGAAGCTGAGGCCACACAGGCTGGGCTGTGGGTCAGGCACATCTCCCAAAGTGTCTATTAGGTGCAGTAAGCTCTGACGATTAAGAATTCTCTTGTCCCTAAGAAAAGATTCACAATGAATTCCTCACTCAGTCTCTGAGGTCAAACCAGACAATATCATAGTTAACTTCATGAAGAAGGGTCTCCATTAGACCCACTTGTTTTTATGTCTTTAATTCTTGTTCCAGCTTTTTCTGTGTCTTGCATATGTAAAAATGCCTTTACTGATTATGACTTATGCTTCATATTTCAATACATCCTTTTAATGGAAAAAAT